GATAACAAACATGTCCTGGGACTGGGAGCACAGGGAATATTTCCAGTGCAGACCTTGCCTTAGTCCAGCTGTGGACAGAGAACTTCAATAGCTGCAGGAACCTAGAAAAGATCATTTACAGCTCAGTCCTGACAGCACTACCTCCCTTCACTGGGGAACTGCTGCTCTCCCTGACCTGCTGGGCCTGATGTGTGGTTGCTGCAGGCTGGGGTCCCACCAGGGTCTGGGGCAGGGGATGGTGGGCAAAAAGAGCTTCAGCCACACGTCTGGATGGGAGGAAAGGTGTCTCAGGTGATCTCAGTAGGTTTTGCAGTTGGAGGAGCTGATGGCTGGGCTGGGTCTTGGCTCTCAAGGACGTGGGACATGGAGGGAGAAGACTGGTGCAAAGAATGTTGCTCCAAGCAAGGGTCAGGGTGATGTGGCCACCTGATGATTTATGGGCATTAGAAGGTCCTGTAGCTGCATCCAGTTACCTGGGAGAGACAAGGTGGTTGATGGCAGTGACAATTCTTCCAGCAAACCCATATTTTGCTGCCACAACGACACAGCATGCCCCAAATCCAGGGCAAGGATTTGCCTTTGGCCTCTGGGCTCCCGCTGACATCCATCAGCCATCTCTGACCCAACCCAAGACCTCTCCAGGGACATTCATTAGTGAGCAAGCTGACTTCTGATATTTTCAAAGAGCCAAAATTCATGCAGAAAAGCCCAAGCTGCTGCAGGAGGGAGGTATTTGGTCCCCACGCTGGTAGTATCCACCATCACCACAGACACACCGTGTTTCTAGCTCAGCTGCTGCACAGCCCATGTCCTTCCTTACCTGTCCCCAAAACACCATCTGATATCTATGCCAGGATGAATATGCACTGGGACAAACTGGACACCTCCATTTTGCCTAGAAAAATAAGTTCATGAACTTCTGTTATCACTCAGGCATGATCTAATCGAAAGATCACAACTTACACAATCATCTCCTTCTCCATCCCCTTCTTCCACTCCTTTAAAAAACACTTCCTGCTTTTTCCAGCTGGACAAGTTATCCTGCTGCCTGCTTTGAAGTAAATATTTTGTTGGGCTTGGCTGCTGTCACAGCCACTCACAGTCTTCTGCCTGATATTTTATCCATCTGCTGCGAAAGGGAATATTTTGAGCTGAGCGTCTCCGAAGGGTTTTGAGGTGCTGAGTAGAATCAGGGGGTGGCAATGCAAGGGCAAAAAGCTTCTCAGCTTTCCCGTGAGTGCTAATTCAAGCTGAAATGCCCTAAAAATGACATACTCTGAGTCTGAGAGGTGCTTGTTACAACATCCTGGTGCTCACGTGCTGCAAGCTGGTCTGCTCTAGCTGAGGAGCTGCTGGTGTCACCCTCTGCTCACCCCCTCCAAGCTTCACGTGCCAAGAAGGAATCCAACACTGAGTTCCTCTTCTGTCTCCAGTGAATGGAAAAAAAAGACTTGGACACCCACGCCGTCAAGGTTGCCAACACCTGCCTTGCTTCATTTCTTCTGCTTGAAGAACATCTGGCTCTCTTGTGTTGCATGGGAAGGGGCTGTGCTCGCAGTGATGGAGCCTCACGTGGCATCTTGCCCAGCTAGAGGTGCTTGCTGTGGCACAGGAGACAACGTGTTCGTGGTGCCTTCCCTTCCAGGGAAGACCTTTCTCTCTGGGGCTGCTCCTGTTGCCTGGGGTTTTTCTCTTGGGTTGAAGAAAGGATGTTTTTTGTCCAGTTGAGCTAGGAGATCTGGAGGTGCCTGCCCAGGAGAAAGCACACATGGCCAAGGCACTGCTGCTGTGAAGGGGGAATCAGGAGGGGCTGAGAGGAGCTGCAGGACGTTGCCTTTACCCCACAAGGCACCACCTTGTAGACCCCCACCACCTTCCTGCAGGCCACCAGTGCTTTCCTCAGTGTCACTCAGCTTCACCCTCCTCCCACGCTGCAGAAGTTGGCCTCAGCTGTTTTGCAGCTTGCATCACTGGTTTTTGTGAAGTTCCTTGAAATTCTCAGAAATCCCACTTTGTGGTGGTGTTGCTCACTTGCACTTCAGGGGAATTGTTGAACCAGCAGCTGAACTAGACAATGCTCATCTCTGTCCCAGACCTGGAAAGCCCTCTCATTCCTCTACAGATGTCTTCAAGCACCCCTTTGCTCCCCAAAACCTTGCAGCAGGGTGAAATGCTGGCCCTGAGCTCCCAAACCACGAGGGACTTTGCTCCCCTGGTCCCCAGCACTCAAAACTCACCAGCTGGCACCATTCCTACCACCTAAACCCAAAAGGCACGAGCTGCTCCTTGCTGTCCCTCCCAGGATGCCCCTTTGGGGCACGGAGGAGGCGGCTGGTGGTGAATGGCCCTTTGTGCACTTTGCTGCATAAAGAGGGCATTATCCAAGCTAAAAATAAGAACCTCCCTGTTAATAAGAGCAAGTTATTGCAGGAGTTACTGGGGGGAACATGCAGCATCTGGAGCACGTCCTGCTGGGGGTGGTGGAGGCACCCTGCAGCTGGGGCAGTGTCCTCTGGCTCAGGTTTGTCAGCAGAGACACCGTGTGCATGGAGGGCTTGTGCTGTGCTGGAAAAGGAGGAGAACAACCAAAGTGGGGGTTCTGGAGCTGGTTTGCATCCTGGAGCAGGGGGCTGCCCACCCAGCCCCTGCACTCAAGGAGCAGGTAGGGCAGTGGCAGCTCCTGGGGGGGTGGTTCCCCTGCAGCCCTTCAGCTCGGGGCAGGGGAGAAGAGGGAGGAGAGGTGACCTCTGAAGGGAATATTTAAGAAGGGGGTGCATTTCCAGGAAATCTCTCTTTTGTTCTTTCATTCTGTTTTCAACAGAAAAGCTAAATCCTCGTGAACTTTTTGAGAACTTTTGTTTGTTCCCTCTTACCAGCTAAGCTCTGCTTTGTGCTGGTGACAGAACTCCTTTCTCCAGGCTCTGGCCACAGGCCAGGACCTGGCAATCTCAACTGTCTGCTGGCAACGCTGCTGGCCCTGTCCCCTTTCCCTCTGGGCTGGTGCAAAGCCCCAGCTCCAACCAGCTCACCTTTGAGGGACACTCTGTGGGTCTTCTTCCTTCTCCTCCTTGTGTGGGAGATGATGGAGCCAGCTCTGCTTGCTTCATCTTTCCCTGCAATGAAAAGCCTCAACTATGATGAACAACCACCTGTCAAACCTGTGGCAGCAGAGGGTGAAGTGGGATGATGGTAGTTACTCAGAGGAGACAACAGTGTTGGAAGGAGCAGGAGATGCTCTTCACCCTAGAGGGGGAAATACAACTGCCACAAGATTTCACACCTCAGTCCTGCTCTCCAGGACCTCTAATCCTGCTGTTTTCTTGTCTTCCCTGTACCCCTGAGCACTCCTCTTCCCCTCTCCAGCCCCCAAAGGTTCTCTCTCTGGGACAGGACTTGTTTGCAGGGACTTTCACTACTATTTACATCTCTACATCACCCAAAGACCTCCAAAGGGCCCCAGTTCCATCGTGCTGTGTGGGAGAAAAGAGATTTCCTGGTTAAAGAAGAGCAGGTCTGTGTGTAAGAGCAGAGATTTGGAGGGTGGAGGAGAGGGAAGCCAGTCACAAGTCCACTCCAACCAGCAGCCACCACGGCACAGGGGGCCCTTTCCCCACCAGCATCTCCAGAGGCATCAACCACAAAATGCTGCTGAAAAAAACACCCTAGAGGAAGGGATCACATAAACTTTCATTATATCAGGAGTCTCATGGCTCGAGTTCTCCATGGCTGCTGATATCCCCAGGGCACTGAATAAACCCCCTTCCCTTTCATCGAGTTCCCTTTGCAGAGCTCAGTGTGTGAACAGGTGACCAAAATGTTCAGTGATTTCACTTCCCCCTTTCCCAGGGGCAGGGAGTAAAAACGGAGCTGTTGTGCAACCAGGAGGGAAATAATCACCATCCAACTGCCAAAATGTGTTTTGAAGCTGTGGGGAACACACACAAGCAGCGATTGCAACACAGCCACCACTGCAGATTATATAAAGAGACTTGGACTTTGTTTTTGATGGGAGTTTTAACCTCTGCAGACGAGCTGGGCACAGGGATAACGTGTGCCCGAGGAGGAAAATCACAGAATCACAGGATGGTTGGGGTTGGAAGGGACCTTTCATCTAATCCAACCCCCCTGCAGGGAGCAGGGACATCTGCCCACCACAGACCACCTCTCTGGGCAACCTGGGCCAGGGTCTCACCATCCTCAGTGTGAAAACTTTCTTCCTTCCATCTAGTTTACATCTCCCCTCCTTTAGTTCCAAACTATCCCCCCCCTTGTCCTGTTGCAACAGGCTGTGGTAAAAAGTCTGTTCCCAGCTTTCTGACAGGCCCCTTTAAGTCCTTAAAGGCTGCAAGAAGACCAGCTTGGAGCCTTGTCTTCTCCAGGCTGAACAACCCAGGCTGGTCTCCAGAGGAAGGCATGACAACCATTCTCCCCAGCCTGGGAGGAGGGCAGGGGTGAGAACTCTCACCAAGCCAAGCTGCTGGAGATAGGAAAGATGGGGGACTACCACCACCTGGCCAGCAGCCCTGGGCCCTCTGTAGCCACCTCCATCCCCAGGGGGAAGGCATTTGAGCTGCTCCTGACAGTCCACAGCAACGGTGGTGACATACGAGGGTGTAACCACAGCTTCTGTAGAGCCATTTATTGGAAGGGTATAAAAATAGAGTGCAAATTTCAGTAAGATGGATTTAAACACGTCGTAGGCAAATAGTCCCACACCTGGGTGGGAGAGGAGCCTCGAAGGTTGGCGGCGTGTCCAGATTCCCTGATGTACCCAGATCCACCGAGCAAAGCAGAGCCTTGATCCCCAGAGATGGGTTATGACCTTCAGAGTCCAGGGGGAACTTCTCCTGCACCGCAGAGGAGCCCTCAGCAGGTGCTGGCTGGGGAGGCAGAGCCTCTTCCTCCTCCTCGTGGTGCACGGATGAGGGGAGTTACTACGGGCAGTATCCTATCAGGTGAGTTAATACTGAGTAATGTGGAAGGGGCACCTGAAGTGGCACCTTCCACCTTTAACAGTCCTCCTAAAAAGCTGAAGCTGTGTCCATTCGAAAGCTCCGTCCAAAGTCAGATCACAATTTTCCTTCTCCTGCTCTCGGGAGAGCTCCAAAAACACCTGAAATGGGCGAGATAAAACTCTGATTATTTCTCTGACTTCCACTAGACTCCCCAAGCTCCTCTAAAAGTATCCGTGGAGTAGGTTTTATCCTCCAATGGATTGATGTAAACCTTCCTCATCTTTGCTACCAGCCTGTAGAAGCAGCAATAACCTCCTGCTTCAGGAGCAACCACAGAGGCTGGACATGGGCATCTACCATGGGCATCCACCATGGACATCCACCATGGACATCCATCCCTTGGATGTGCTGCGTTCCTCTCCTGGCTGAGTGGAGTCACAGAATTCCAGAATTCTTGGGGTTGGAAGGGAGTCCAACTCCCCTGCAGTGAGCAAGGACATCTTCAACTACACCAGGTTGCTCAGAGCCCTGTCCAACCTGACCTTGAGTTAGACCATGATACTTTGCCTAAGCTTGTTCCCACCATGCTAAATCCCACCAGTGAAAAAACCAAACCATTTCTGCCCACGTTCCCAGCAGAAGACCCCTCACCCACCACCCCCAGGCAGATTTTTTGGTGGAGCAGCCTTCTGCCACTGCACTGGCCCAGGTCTCACTGCAACTTTTGTTGTCTAGCCTTGAAAACACTTGCCTGAGCCAAAGTGTTCAAAGAGAAGCTGTACTCCTCAAAGTTGAAGTTTCGTTTGGCTGTGGAGAAATGAGAAGAGAGCTGAAAATTAACAGTTGGTGTTCTACCTTTTCAAAAAGTCACATCTTGTTCTGCTTTTACCTTCCTCCAGCTTGGAGAAGGACTGAGACAGGGGCAGTGCATCTTCCATTGGGACCTTGTAGACTAGCAAAGAGGGGGATCTTAAAGAAAAAGAAGAAAAGGTGATTCTTGCTCTGTGTTGAGGTTCTGGGATCAAAGCTTTATGTCATGCTGTGAGCTGGATGTATGGACTTTCTGCTGCAGGGATCACAGCAGGGTTTGATGTGGTGGCATTATCAAATCAGATCCACATACAGGGGCTCTGAGTGGTTCATCCCTCTTCAGGATGAACCTCTGAGGTCTTGTCTCTGGCCACCACACTGGGCACATTTTTAGGGATGGGGTAGTATTGAAATCACCACTCATCCCATATTTTATAGTTACCGTTCCTGATGGGCTGCACTTGGGAAAATCCTCAAAATCTCAGCATGGAGAAGTTGAGTGTGCTCTGGATCCTTGATCTTAATTTCCAGCAGATAGCCTTTGCCAAATTTGTTCTGCAGGTACTGAATGGAGCCAATGCTCCTGCAGGGGAGGGAGGGGAAAAAGAAAACAAAGATCCATCAGTGTGAAACCATCAGTGCCCCACCATCTGCTCCTTCCCAAACTGGACTGCTGGTGGAGTCACGGGGAGCACTTCCTACAGCCCGTGGTGATGGGTTTGGGTAGGTGGGGCAGAGGAGGAGCCCCCGGGGCCGTTGCCCAGCTCAGCTTTGCTGCTGCCCACCGTAGGTGCCCGGACACCAGGATGGCCACACGGTCACACACGGCCTCTGCCTCCTCCATGCAGTGTGTGGTCAGGATGGCTCCTGCCTCCTTGGTCTTCAGGGCAGCACGGATCATTTTCCTGAGGACCAGAGAAGGGGCAAATGAAAAGGTAGCACTCTAGGAACGTCAGACACTTCTTATACCTTTGTCTCTCCAAATGCCTCTCCCCTAAAAGAAGTGTGAAAACTTTACACCCAGCAGGCTGCACGTGTGATACTTTGACAGAATGACAGATTATTTTTGACTCAGGTCCCTTTGTGGATTCTTCCAAATCCCATCTATGACTATCCTAAAGTTTGCAGCGAGGATGAAGGTGAAATGTTCTTACTCTCTCCTTGCTCATGCTTTAGCTAGAAGGAACCTGAGAAGTGGAGTTTCCAATAATACCATTGGCACGTGATGAGCAGCACTAACCACAGATGGGACAAGACACTTTATCTAACCTCAGGTGTCTATTGGGCTTCCAGCCTCTCTACCACCGTGGTGGCTTGAGGTCCTACTCACCAGACACAGTGCTGCCCACTGAGGTCCATGCCAGTTGATGGCTCGTCCAGGAGCAGGAGCGTGGGGTTGCCCAGCATGCACACTGCAAAGCACAGCTACGACAGAGATGGGTTGGAGTCAAACCCTCTGAAGTCCCTGCCACTCTGTCTACACAGACCTACAGTCAGAGTCACTTCATTTATGGGAATCAAGGGTCTGATTTATAAGAAATATGGTTTGGGGAGTAGCTAATTTCCATCACCCCACCATGGGAGGCAACACGATGCTCCCCTGGGTAGCTCAGAGCACAGGTAGGTCCCTCTGCTCATGGAAGGGATTTTTGATTTGTTCTGTGATCATTGCAGTGTGCTCATTATAGGGAAAAACCAAACAGACCTTCCTGGTTATCCCAGCAGATAATATTCTGGTTTTTTTATTCAAGTAGTCTTGAAGCTGCAGAGCATTCACTATTCTGTGGGGAAAGGGAACAAGAGAAGAAAGAACATTTTTGTTATTCCCAGCTCAATAGTCTCATCAAGAAATCCCAAAACGATTAGAAAAAGGAACTTTCTTCCCCCTGCACTTGAATCCTGCTTGTTTTCATTAAACATTTATTGTACTATTAAAATGTAAGTGACTATTTGAAGCCAAGTGTACTGAATAAGCCACGAGCTCTTTTCTAAACCCATCATTAGTGTCAACAGCACTATAAATCCCTTCCACCTTGCCAGTGTCAGCTGGGCAGGCAGTCCTTAAGCACCTTTTCTTGCAGTGCCAAAATATAACATCAGAGACTTTAGAAGTGCTTCCTAAAGATAACATACTTAAAAGGATATTAGTGGTAAATTTATCCCCACTAAATGCACTTAGGCAAATTGGAGATTTTCTTAACCCACTCACTTAATCATGGCATTTAGCACAAAATCACTTTTGCAGCTCCAGTTCCTGAGTTTCTTTTGAAGTTGCCACTGGCTGACAGTGACTTTTGACTTTCTGGTCACTTCCTCATGCCTTAGGACTAGGGGGTAAGTGATGGACCAACCCCTGGGGATCCCTCCATCCGTACCGGCTGAGAGCAGCAGCAGTGTCCTCCTTGGGCAGCCCTTTCACAGCAGCATAGACCCTCAGGTGCTCCTGCACGGTGAGGTCTGGCCAGAGCAGGTCCTCTTGTGGGCAGTACCCCAGGAAGGTCTGGTCCTGGAGGTGGGAAGTTGCTCCATCTTCCCTCTTCATCAGCACCTGCACAACCAGGCTGCTTGTTTCACTCTCATGTAGGCACAAGGTGCTCCCAGGTAGAAGGGTGTGGTTCAGAGGAAGACTATGGGCTTCATGGGGATTCAGGCAAGGAAACCCAGGGAGGGATTTGGCAATGATAATTAACGTAAGAATATGAGGAAAAACTTCTTTGCTGTGAGGGTGACAGAGCCCTGGAGCAGGCTGCCCAGAGAGGTTGTGGAGTCTCCTGCTCTGGACACATTCCAGACCCCTCTGGATGCCATCCTGGGCACCCTGCTCTGGGTGACCCTGCAGGAGCAGGGGGGCTGGATGAGGTGATCTCCAGTGGTCCCTTCCAATCCCTGCCAGTCTGTGACTTACATGATTTCTAAATATAAACATAGCCAATTAGGGTAGATACAACTGCTTGTCAAAGTCAGAAGTAGCTCCCAATAATTTTTTTTATTGATAGATTGTTTAATTTAACAGCACAATGAATTCACTTAAAACCTTGATAACTAAAAATGCTTTGAAAAAAATTATAGCATAGCCTAGGTGCAAGGTCTCCCTTTTCTCCAGAGGTTTCCTACCTGCCCAGCAGTCAGGGTCTTCTCTCCAGCAATCATTTTGATAGTTGTGGTTTTACCAGCTCCATTGGGCCCCAGAAGTCCCAATACTTCTCCTGGAATCAATAGATATAATCTCTTAGCAATATTCTGTGTTTGACAAATGTATCAGGCACAGTCCCACAAAAGGCAAAATATAGAAGAGAGCACTCTAATGGCAAAGATCACACAAAAATAAACAGTATAAATATGTACTCTGAGAGCCCATAATGTTTCAGCTCTGATGCTGTGAGTCTGAGCATTGCTCCCAGGTCTCTCGGGAGCTGCTGCTGAAGTGGATCCTGAAGAGAAGGGTCTACATTGTTTTAGATAACAGAGTCCAAGGTAACTAATAAGATGAAGCCTCATCACATTGTTCCTTAGCACATCAGTCAGCCTGAACACACCTTCACCACACAGCAAACAGATTTAACCCTTATGTCCTCACTCAGATAACTGAGAATATGCAGAAAATTAACTCTAGGTCTGACTGGGGGGCCAGAAAAGGTCTAGAAGAGTTCCAGTTCTCACCTTTTTTAACACAGAAGGAAACATTTTTGGTGGCCATTTTCTTCTTCTTCTTAAAAACTGATCCAGCTTGCTTTATTTTATATTCCTTGCACAGATTGCTGGCAATAACAACTGATTTCTGAAAGCAGGGAGGAAGAAGAAAGATTAGTCTATTATATTGTAAACCATTAATCCTTCAGTAATATTTTTCCATTAAAAAAAAGGCAGAAAACCTTTCAAAGATCTTTGACTTTGTTTTCTAGTTCACTCAGTCTGAGGTGCAACAGGACACTTTATTGCCCATGTGCCTCTTAAGAGCTTTCTTCTCCATCCTGAAGGGACCTACACTGTACACTTAGGAGCTTCATTTTCTTAATGAGATTAATACATCCAGGGCACTGACCTGCACTTATTGGCACTTGGTGGTTGGGTTTTTACCAGCTGGCTTCTTACTGCTATGAAATAAAAGGAGAAAGGCAACACTCCAGTCATACCTCATCCTGACTTGGAGCTGCTATGGCATTTCTCACGGCTGCTCTCTCAGCTTTAACATCTTCATCTTCCTCTTCTTGCTCCTCGATGTGCTGGTGGCTGCTCTCTCTTCTTGGGGAAATCCTACAAACCCCCCCAGATTCCTCTTAGCATTTGGTTCTTTACCCTTGTTCTCCACCAATGCATTTTGGATAGACCAAGAGTGAATGTCACTTTGGTTCGATGGTTCTTCTATTTATTATTATTATTATTATTATCAATAATTTATTTTATTACTGTTATTATTTTAATATATATAATCTTTCTCTGTTGAACAAAGAACCAATCTGGTACAGCCACACAGCACAGGCCACGCTGTGTGAGGGACAAACAAGCTTGAGAGCTGGTTTATATTATCACAGCACTCTAGTATTTAAAGGGCTATTTTTGTTCTAAAAAATCACAAGTATTAAAATAAAATATTTAAAAATAGGGACACGAAGGTAATGATATCTGATCAAAATGTTGTCTTGAAGGAAAAGCAGCAATGGTAGGAGTTTAGAACTTGAATGTGTATGTGTGTTTATACAAACCTGAATATTGGGTCCTTTCTCAGAACTGCTTTTCCATATTTTATCTCCAAGCATCGAAGAAGAAAAATGAAGCCCACAGAATGGATATAAGGCTGAAAAATAAAAAATAAAACAAAGGAGGCTGCTGCATGAACAGCCTTGAATCCCATCCTACTATGGCTGAAACTGCAAAGGTGGTGGCAGCATCATAAAGGGAAATACACAGTGGGCAGAAATAAAGCCCATGAACATCTAAACCAGGGTAATCCAGAAGACCCTGAACTCTGCTACCACTTACTAATACTGCAGAAAATACCAGAGGGAGGAGAAAATACACACTGCATAAAATAAAAAGGCAGCATTAAGCAACCTGAGCTTCTTTCATTGTCCCTTCCCTGTCTCAATGGAGCGAGGTTATTTTTGCACAGGGAGGTAAATCTGTCATCCAGCCCCACCAGGATCCTTCTTCTGCATGGAATGAGCTCAGGGATCTTGCCTGTTTCCTTGTGAGTGTTAGAAGACCTTGTAAGAACCTTGTAAGGTTTTAGAAGACACACATTCTTAAATAATCTTAAATGTTTTCTTACTGCAAAGACACCTATTAGTACATCATATCTTGGGCTCCTGATTTCTTCCACAAAAACCTGTAAGAAATAAAAAAGCAAATAAACAACCCACAATGAAGACCTGTAATTCTGTAGGATAGTGCTTGCTAATTTTTGGAAGGGTTAAAAGCAATCAACACTTTGAAAACGTACGAAACCAAACTGATTTACCCAAAATATTCACCACACAGATGAAGAAATAGAGATGTTTGATTCTGGGCATCTCAGTCCTATCCCAGAAAATGTCCCAGCACTGGGCACATGTATCAGACTCTCCTCCTGGGGGGAAGGACCCATCATGGGAAAACATCTTCTCTCCTCTCCTTTGGGGTCCCCGTGGAAAAGAGGTGGAGGTGAGTGGGACAGGACAGAGGAGGAGTCTCTTCTATTTGGACTTCACTCCTAAGGCATTTATGGCTCATAAATGGTCTTGCACATAGCTGGAAGGTCTTGTTAAAGCCTTTGATGACTTTCCACAACCACCCTCAGCTGACATGGAGTAAAGCACCTTGGGAGAATTCTTAATTCTCACTCTGTATCCGTGCAAAGTCTGATGCATAACTTCAGATTGTCTGTTATGATTGTTCAAGCCAAGCTGCTCAACTCTTCATGGACAGAATTAAGAGTGCTCACCTAAGCTACAGTCCCAGAATTAGCCCCTAGCCATAATGAACTGCTGGAAAAATTAGAGCTGATCAGAAATGGTCATCTCTGGCCATTTGGAACACCCCACCCAGAAGAGGAAACGAATGAACCTTCCCAGAACCACCAGCCTTTGCTCAGAAGGACACCACACAGTTGTGCTTCGTGGTGGGGTTCCTCTCCTCACCCAGCACCACTGCTCACCTGGTAGCAGTTGCTTGCTACACCCAGCAGTGGGTACACAGGAATCAGGAGGGACAGAACACAGAGGCTGGCTGTAGGGTCAGTGAAATCCATGATTCTGCTGATGATAACAGAAGCAAAGCACACCTAAAACAAGAGGGTAACTTAGCTGATGGGAAGGGTTATGCTCCTCAACAGTCTTAAAAATTGTCTGGGTCTACCTTCTCAATTCCCTGTTGAATTTCTGCAAATGGGCATGAAATACAAAGATCAGAAACAGTGAGGGTTGAGGAGGTCCTCAGCTGTCTCTGCCTCATGGTAGGATGCTGGTTTGGGTCAGCCAGGGAAAGTTCTTCCCAGACACAGGGCTGCTTCAGGGAGAAGAATGATGCACAGGATCCTGTCCTGCCCTTTCCCATCCCTGTTTGTGCCAAATAACCCATCTCCTTCCAGGTCAGGCTTGGGCTATCTGTACCTACCCAGATGGCTCAAGTCTCAACCTGCATCTCTTGGATGAGAGGTGTTGAACAGAGTGCTAAATAACTTTTTTACCTCCATTCCTGCCCCAGCTCAGGGTAGATCCAAACATTTGCCCGTGCCACAGCAGGATTGTGGGAAAAGAACACAGTGCCACAAATTTAATATAGAATTGACTGCTATAAAACACACACTTATATTTACGTTCTACATCTATACTTGGTGTTTTGACCTCTAGACCATCCTTAAGATCTCAAAATACATTTCTGTAAATCCTACATCATTTCGCTATGTGCTTACCACTATCAGCATAAAAGACCAAAAATCACGGTTCTGTCCTTTGTGAAAGATGAAGGAGATGATGTATGTGAGGAGAACGAGAGAGATTCCATAGCCTAAAGCACCCATGAGCTGCAGAAAACAAAAAAAAGGGGAGAATGGGGTGATCTAAACAGCTACAAATCTATCCAGAGCAATGTGGTTCTGTTTAAATAAACATACATTAAGATCAAAGTATTCAGAAATTACCACTATTGTACTGCTAGGTGTAAAGGGGTAGAGGGAAGGTCCCTAAGCACATGGGGACCCAGCACCACCTGCACCCACGGTGTCTCCACTACCCCTCCACACCCCCAAAACATCACCCCAATCCCTCCCTAGTGAACCAGCAATCACCAGAACAGGAGGTACCAGAAAGAAGAAGCAGTGGATGCTCCCGGCAATGTTGCTGCTCATTGCAAACAGAATGCCAAACACGGAGAAGAGGAGGAGCCAGCACAGTGGGATGTCCACCAGTGCCTGGCCACACCAGTAGGCTGAGGGGAAGAGCCCCGAGATCCGGAGCTGGGCACGAGCTCCCACCTGGGAAGGCACAATGCAAAGGGCAGGTTATTGTCAGAACCTGGTTGGCCAAATGCCCCCGTGGGAGTAGCTCCAGGAAATCCAAAGCTAACAAAAAGCTGTTCCCGTTGTGATCCTGGGGTAAAATTCCACCTCTTTTTTTTTTTGTCTTTTAGCGTTTTGTGCTGTCTGCAAAGTGGCAAGACAGAGAAAAGTGCCTCAAGCTGCCCATCATATTCACATGTCTTTGTGGCAATCCGTCTCTGATCCCTTCTGCCCACCCCAAATCCGCTGCTTTTCGAGGAATTTACCTTGTAATCCTCCTTGTAGCCCATTGCAAAGTAAGGAAGAAAACCAGGGAACAACACCAGCATATACATGAGGTAAAAAGAAAGAAAATACTCCCAGAATTCTGCATCATTGATCTGAAAACAGAAGAACAAAGGATTTATAGAAAACATGGGCAAAATAATGCCTAGAACCCACCATTCATCTGGTGGCATTTTTCATGGAGTACAGGGCAGGATGAACACAAGGTGGGATTTGAAACCAAACATTGGCAGCAGGAAGGTTTTCCCCAAACCACAGCCCTGCAAAGTGCTTGCCACTGGGGAGGAGAGATGGGTGGTGCAGGTCCCATTCCCCCGTCCCAGATTTTGGGGAGCTATCTTTTCTGTCAAGTGATTGACCACAGCTTGAATAATGTGGCATAAAGACCCAGGAACCTCCTGAAGAAACCCTCCCCATCACCCTCTCTGTTCAGCAGCCATCAAGACCCACCAGGGGAAAAATTAGCTTCAGTTTTCCTGAAGTCAGACACGATGGTTCCAGACCCACCACCAAGGATGGTGGGTTTAGAGGTACAGACAGCCCCACGTGGCTTCCCACTAAAATCTGATGATTTACTTAGGCTTTAAGCAGATTTAAGAACTATTTTCCAGCACCTTCTGGCTGCCAGGCTCTGACACTTACAGGTAAAAACGGATGATTCCAGATCCGGATGTGCACGGTGGAATTGAGGGCTCTGAGCAGGCAGTTGCTGATGACATTCACGAGCACTGGGAAGCAGTTGATGGCCTCCAAATGGCATAACACAGTAAACCTGTAGCTCTTCAAAGAGCAAGAAAACAAGATGAAAACCTTAGGCTTTTCTCATCCACAGGGAAGAAGTAGAAAAGGAGCATACCAGGAGAATCCAGGCCTGAGAGTAATTGCTAAAAAACAAATGATGAAGTTTTGGATGTCTCTACAGCTGTGCTACACAAAATGTAAAGTTTGAGGTGGAGGATGGAAGAGATAAGGTCTCTTCTAGCATGTAGTTGACTGGTTAAAACTCTTTCAGATCGTTGTACCTTTGGGCTTTACTCAACAGGACCACTCCAGGAGGAGCACATTGGTGGAGTTCAATTGTGGGGAAGAAACTGGAGGAGGAGAACACAAATCCTTACCTGGCCTTTCCGAGACACTTTTATGGCCCCATTGTGGCTCAGGTCCTCTGTGATATTTTCCTTGTTTGTTATTTCCACTGTGAGATCTTGGCTCTCGAGCAACTGGATGAAGTCTTCAATGCTTGTGCCTGGTGTGAAAGCCAAAAGCAGAGGAATCATATTACTGAATAACAAGAAAGTCTTGGATGGTTTCTGTGGTTTTTTTTTTAGATCCATGATCACCAAACGAAACCAGAGGAAGTCTAATGACTGTGGACATCAGACAGCACATATCTGGTGGATCATTGTCCATTATTTGTTGTGAAGCTGATGATGGAATTCAGTCTCATTGACTGAATTTTTGCAATGTCATTTTTTTTTTTCTCCCTGCCTTTGCTGAATTGCTACAAATTAGATTCTCCTTTCTGATGGTCTGATGAAGCCAACAGTATCATACCCTGGCCAAATAACATGAAACAGCATGAACTCACAGGAATAAACTCTGGAGGCAGATCATTTATTTGGCTCATCACTAATGAGCCTTACTGGAGGATGGTGCCTGGTTTGAGAATCCCACACACTGAAAATGCAGAAATCACAGAATGGTGGGGGTTGGAAGGGACCTCTGGAGATCATCTCACCCAACCCCCTTGCTCCAGCAGGTCACCCACAGCAGGGTGCTCAGGATCACATCCAGGAAGGTTTGGGATCTCTCCAGAGCAGGAGACTCCACAGCCTCTCTGGGCAGCTGCTCCAGGCTGCAACACCCTCACCCCCTGCTCCAGGTTCTGCCACCCTCACAGCAAAGAAGTTTTTCCTCATGTTCAGATGGGTCCCTTCTACTCTCATTTGCTGTGGTATCTCTTTTCACATCACTGCATCAGGATCTCACTAGCTGCTGAAGCCAAAACGACCACGCCTGTGCCCTTAGATCCCCTACATCCTACAGCCTTCCACTTATTCTCATTGCAAAAGCAGGAAGCCCCAGAGTAGGAAAGGGTGAAGAAAGGTCCATCCCCCTCACCCGTGTTGTTGTGGACCAGGAGGGTGGTGGTCTCCAAGTGAACCCTCTTCCCCAGGGGCAAGAAGTACAGGGCAGATGAGAGCTCCCAGGCTCTCACGATCTTCCAGGCAGCAATCAGGGACAGATGCAAAACCACAGGAAGCAGGAAAACCACATAGAGCAGCAAACTACAGTCAAGAAAGAGATGAACCAACACTCTGAAAACAGAGATTCAGCAGAACTCATTTCCGTAGTGGGAATGGGATACTGTGTTCAGGCTACCCAGTGTTCTTTCTGGTAAAAAAAATTTGGCACTTTTATTGTCAGAAGTCTCAAACTGGGGTCATCCAACAAAGGCCTTCAAAATCTAGCAGGGAGCAGACCTCAGATCTGGTGTGCTCAGCTTTTTAGGGCTATGAAATGCCTTTAAGACCTAAGTTCTTTTATAAACCAGCATCCCCCTTCTGCTTCTTGTGCCCCACCAGGAAAAGCAGTTTGAATATCAATGAGTTTAGACAGTGGCAAAAGGAGAGAAGTTTTGAAAAAAATAAGAGGAAGTCTGAAAGTAGTGTTTTCCCCTCCTCTTTTTGTACACACTGGTTTATTTTAGATCTTCCTCGTTCATCTGAATTAAAAATGTTTCTTTTCTTTTTTGCAAGAAAAAAAAAAAGTGGGTTTCAATTGCATAAGTCACTCAGTACAGAAATGAAAATGTCCAAAAGTGGGATTTTATATTTCTGGCCCTGGAAAGGAAAAGGTTTTCCTTTCTTCTGATTACCAAGGTGACTCATAGCCAAGACCCAATATCAGTTAACACAAAGGCATGAAAATTGTCCCCCCTGCCGTGGCTGTGGCCAAGTCCAGATCTGCAAGAGAGAATCACTTCGACACTTACATTGACCGCAGGTTTTTCCCTGAACTCTTGAGCTTTAAGAAGTGCAGCCACGCCATGGCAGAGACCTGCTGCCTCCAGAGAGCCAAGCCACCGACCGTCCCCTTCCTGGTGCTGGAGAGCAGCGAGGAGCCCAGCTCCACCTCCTCGGGGCATCGCCGTCCTGCCTCTGCCCACTCCTCCCCGGGGCCGTGCACATCTGCAGAGAGTTCCCCAGGTGCAAATTTATGTCTAAGGCCAGCTCTTCTCTGTTGCAAGGGGTGAAAAATTAAGAGCTGCCTAGCAATCAACTGTTGGGAGGGTGGCCAGGGGGTGTGGTAAAGCATCTGCTCTCTTCGGCTGCAGGCTGTGGATCTGCAGCCACGGTTGTACCTGCTGGATCTGCTGGGGCTTTTCCCTCCAGTCTCAGGAAGACATCCTCCAGGGTTGTCATGCTGACTCCATAACTGATAATTCCCTGGTCAGAGCAGCTGTCGAGGCCACTGAACAGATCTGTGGGACAGAGATGATGCAATCACAGACTCAAAGCACAGTGGGGGTTGGAAGGGACTTTTGGAGATCATCTCGTCCCACCTCCCTGCTAAATGAGGTTCACCCACAGCGAGGGGCCCAGGACTGTGTCCAGGTGGGATCTGAATCTCTGCAAAGAAGGACATTCCACAGTCTCTCTGGGCAGCCTGCTCCAGGCTCTGCCACACTCACACCAAAAAAGTGTCTTCAGGGTTTCAAACTTGAGCATGTATCTCCAGACCTGACTGATTCAGTTGAGTCAACCTGGCTGGAGCTTCTCCAGTGACAGGGAAAGCAATAAAGCAGTGAGCTACCAAAGGGTCTGGAGGAACACAAACCCAAAAAGGAAAAATAAACTCTCAGTACCACATGTAGTCCAGTTTAGCCTGCTGGGTTTTTCATCACACCCAGCAGAAAGGCATTTGTTGTACATTTGATCTTAAATAAATGGGTGCTAAAACTTGGGGGGGAGGAGATGCAAAATGCCACAGGTCTAAAGTCCTCATGTGACTCCTGTAGAAAACTCCCTCTTCATTTCTCTTTCCCCACATCTATGATTATATTTCCCTATGGATAATTTGCAATTATTTTAACATACGTTACCTGGGAATTTGTTAATGTTTTCTAATGGCAGTTTATATTTCAGCTCATATTGACTCTGCCCTGAGAATATGGCATTGGGGATGTACCATTTAACCAGAGATGTCACGTTCTCCAAGTCACAAGACTCATTGACGTGAATCCTGTTCAGTTGAAAAAAAACAGTTTAGAAACAAAAAACCCACAAAAACCAGAAACCAAACCCAAACCAAACCATCACCCAAACAAACAACCCCCACCATTCTATTTGCTAACATGCATAAAAAGGAAACTCCAGCATATTTCACTCGTTCCTTACTCTGGAGTAAAGTGCTGCTTCAGTTAATCTCAGTGAATGTTAATTCAGTGGGTTTTCTTGTTTTGATGACATCTGCTCTACATTTTTCCACTTACAATTATTCTGGTGGCTTCTTCTACACCTATATTCCCCGATACCAGTTGCTGGGGCTGAAGTAGATACCTTAAGTGATAGCCAATCCCCCATTTCTTCTTCAAGAAGAGAGAAGAACCGACACACTTCAGCCTCCCGTGCAAGATAAAAGCCTTGCGGTCTGAAGACAGAAAAAGCCAAAGGAATTTATACTGTGTAGAGCAATCATTCAAAGCTTTGGCTGGAAGAGAAGCTCACATGAGCTTTCTGCTCCAGGGTTATTCTGTGGAGATGTTACAGGCTGAGCCTACCTGCCAGGACATCGGCCTCCTCCATGGACTGGGTGCTGAACAGGATCACCCGTCCAGCTCTCTGCTCCTTGAGGAGGCTCCACATCTGGTGCCTTGAAAGAGGATCCAGCCCAGCTGTTGGCTCGTCCAGGAGCAAAACCTACAGAAAGGATGACATCAGACATTCCTGAAATGCAACTGGAGCAATTGCATGTCTTTTGGTTTGGTGTTCTCCTGAAAGCCTCAGGTCCTGAAGACAAGAGACCCAGGCCAACCGTTGCACAAGGGCAGCTATCCTGGGAGCTGTGAAGGGGTCAGGGAACTATCTATCTGCTTCAAAACTAGACTAGCAAGGTGGGTTATGAATTTAACAGAATTGAAATATTAAATGTATTCATTTTAAAAATTATGAGTGCTTTAAAGAGGTCTGAAATCATGCACAAGCCTGTAGCCAAGCCCATGCATAAGGTTTTAGTTTTGTTGAACCTGAATGTTCCCTTCACCACAGAGATGCTTTACCTGGGGGTTTCCAAGCATGGCTATTCCAATGGATAACTTCCTTTTTTCTCCACCACTCAGTTTCTCAGCTTGAGTATCTTGAATGTTACTGATATCCAACTGTTCCAAAATGTTTCGGACCTAGAACAGCACAAGGATGTCCATTCTCAGCACCAGTTGTCCTTCCAGCCTCTATGAGCTGTGAAAGAGATCTGGCTGGGACTGAAGGCAGTTTCTAAGAGCATGTACCAAGATCTACCACCACCATCAGGAGCAGCCACTACAGGGGCTGCTGCATCCCCTCACCCCCTTGGCTTGAGCAGAGGAATCACTGTGGCTGTAACAAGCCCACCAGCTTGCCTGCTAACCTGGCCAAAGCTTGAGAACAGCTTCAATTTGCAGAAGACACAGCCAGGTGGACCCTTGGAGCTCCCCAGTGCAAGAGGAGCCTTTAGTGAAGCATGGGCTTTGCCTACAGCCTCCCTCACGTTGCTGTGCAGTGATGTGTTTCAGAGGAACACACACTTACCTCTTGTTCTACATCTTTGGACTTGATGCCCTTGATTTCTGCAAAAGCTTTCAAGTTTTCTTTCACCGTTAAGACTTCAAACTGGACGTTGAATTGTGGGCAAATGCCAATCATCTCTCTAGTCCCTTCCCTCTCTCCTATCTCAGAGAGTTTGTAGTTGTATATGGTTGCAGAGCCTGTTTACAGGAAGAAATGTGATGAGGTGGAATGAACTGCTCTTCACAGATTTTGAACCAAGCCCACCTCATCCCACTGGCATCCTACCTTCAGAAGGCCCCGTGAGGCCACTGAGCACATTTAACAGTGTTGACTTCCCAGCCCCACTGTGGCCGAGTAAGGCAGTGATCTGACCCTCATAAATAGTTAAAGACAAACCTAGAATGAAAACAACATCAAGTTTGGGAAGACACGAGGTTGGACTTGCTCCTACTTATTGTCGAAGGCAAGACAAGTCAAGAGGTATAAGAACTAAGTAGCAGTAATTAGCCAAAAGTGCATTAAGGGATGTTTGGCAAAGTTCTGCAAAATCTTTAACCAAAGGCATAAGAAGCTGCTCTGTATAGAGCAGAAAAGACAGAAACATAACAACAACAACAACATCTTTCTCCTCGTCTCATTAAAAATGGAAAATCAGTAAAACCTGAACAAAAGAGTAATGAATCACACCCATTAATATTTTACATAAATTTTCAAGCAATGCAAGTGTTGTTTTATTTCTCTGACTGACTGGAAGGTTTGCACAACTGCCTTTCCTCATTCTGACCAGGAATCAACACCACAGCTTTCATACCTCTTAAAGCTTCTGTCTTCTTGTCCTTCTTTTTATATGCTTTTTTAATATTGTGTAGCCTAAAAAGAAGGTAAGGAGGATATTATTTCAGGATTCCTGTAAGTACATTTCCCTGGTGCCCTTTATTCATTCTTATTTCATTTTAAAATGACAGAAATGGCATGAAAAGTAAGAGGTCCTGGGAAGAGAGCCTGAGATTCAGCAGGGCTTGGCATGCTCCAGGCACAGGCATGAACATCACTACCTGGCATGGAGCAGTGGAGCACCAAGCCTTGCAAAGATGAGGTCAAGCCCATTGCAACAGATGGCTGGTGTACAGTGCACTGCCCTCCACGTTCTCCTCGTTGACATTTAACCAGTCCACAGAAAATAAAACTGCTATTTTTCAATGGGTATTTATCTGAATTTCACCATTAGTGACCAGCCTGAATTGTCTATTTATCTCATCTCCATTTTATCTGTAATTTCTGTTAAACAGAATGTTTTGCAAGAGCCTCATGAAGATGAAAGTCAAAACAAAGCTGATGGCAGAAGCTCTGGTCTGTGGGAACATTAAACCCAAACTACCCAGCTCAAAAAGCGTGACTAGCAATTCCTCTTTTCTTAACCTGATGGCCTCCTTCCCCATGAATTCAGGGGGCATGGGCTCTACATCATCACCAAGGAGCTCCTCAGGGTTTGCTGCTCTTCTGGGCATCTCCCTGGTGAAGTCTCTCCTGCTCCGCACCCAGTAGGAGGGCTTCAGGCAGAAAAATGGAGATTCTGGGATGCCATATTTGCCTGACAGGAAAGATGAAGAAGATTCATCAGAAGATAACCTGTTATCAACCAAAACCACAACCAAGACACTGTTTAAGAGGTTCTAATAAATATTGGGTTGCCTCAAAATTGGTACTTGTCCAGTTAAAAAAAGAGGTTTGGAGCCAGGGTAGATGTGACAAAGAAGTTGGCTTCAGAGCTATAGCCAAAGAATTCAATGTTTTAGTTAATGAATTAAAATATTGCCCCACACCTTATTACACTATTTTCTCATAAACAGTTCAGCAGCATTATCATTAGAAAGAAAAAAATTAAACACTTTATTGTCTTTGATTTGGGAGTTACCACTGTCTGCCAGGGGCAGAAAAGTCACTCAGCATTATAATACATATTTTTAGTCCAAAACTCAGGGAATGGAGCAACCCATCATTTCCTTGAGGGTCTATTACACACAATCCATGCAAAGCAGAGCATTATAAGACAAATTTTTAGTCCAAAACTTGTTTTGATTTACTCAGGGAATGGAGCAACCCATCATTTCCTTGAGGGTCTATTACACACAATCCATGCAAAGCAGAAGTAGAAAAGAAGTAGGTATGATCACGAGCATAAATGACACCTACCTGGCAGAACTTTGTCGAAATACACAGCTAACAGCATGTACAAGACTGAGTCAAAGACCAGCATGAGGTAAGTTGAAAATAAAAAATATGCTTCATCCATAAGATTGGAAAAAGAGAAACCAATACCATATTTTTCCAAATAGAAGATCTGAAATAAAAGACAAAGGAGAATAATTTGAATGGTGGAAAATGATGCACATGCCACCAAACCATGGATATAATTGACTTTGTTAACCCAGAAATCATCTGCAGTACTGACCAATTTTTCTTCCTTTCTTTCTGAGTGAGGAAAGGAAATAAATTGACTCCGTGTGGAGATCTTATGTTTCCTGTCATAATTTTCCAGAACAACTCAGAAGCAGAAGAAAAGATCAGAGTTTTCTAGGAAATCATTCAGGAAACATGATATTAGCACCCTTGATGTGACAGAGTCATGACAAAGGTGGCATCACTGCACACAGTGACTGATTTACCCAGATGGCAGATCAGCAGTAAACCCATTTTCTTTTTCTGCTGGTGCAGAAATCTCTCCCAGGCAGATTTTTTTTTGTATATTGGGAAATCAAATATTAAATAAGCAGAACTAGAAAGCAGCACTCAGATCTATGGAGCTACGACTGATAGAAAAGTGCAGAGAATTCTCCAAAGCAGGGATGGAGGGAGGATGGCAGCAGCACCAAACTCAAATTGGATTTGCACACTCCCTGTTGACAGGAAGAGCTGCTGAAGAAGTGACTGGGCAGCAAAGAGCTGATGTCCCCAAGTCAACCCCTGTCTGCCCGGGGTCCAGCCCCAGCAGATAATGGTGCTGTTGTATCCAGCTTGCTGGGGCATCCTCGGGTTCATCTGGGTGCTACACGAGTGCACAAGGGCAGATTATTTGTGACGAGGGCTGTGGTTTTCTCTGCATTCATCAGCTTTTTAAAGAGAGGGATGGGATGGGGGCATTGGAGCCCCTCTTTGCTCCCCAGCAACAGCTCAGCTCACATGAAGGTTTCAAAACAGGATATGGAGATGAATGAAAAGTACCTGAAGATTTTACAGATGTGGAAAACTGGTCTTTTGAAATGAGGATTATGACTTCCTATGCCTTCCTCTATCAGCACAGTACAACAGAGTCTTTTATTGTCACACTCTGTGACAAAACATACTCTATCCCCCCCCTGAAAGGGCCCAGGCAAGCAAGCTGGTCAGAGAATCATAGAACCATAGAATCATAGAATCATAGAATCACAGAATCACAGAATCATAGAAGTGTTGGAAAGGTTCAGCTGCTGAGGTGATGCCCCATACCTTTGCAATGCCAACGTTAAATGCAAAAGGAGAGAAGAGACCAAGAAACCACTTCAATGGTTCTGGAAGATTTTCTATCAGCACTGCGAGGCTCAGGCATCCAAAGAGAAAGGTGATGAAAAATCCCATGGAGCTGGCAAGTTTGGAGGTCCTTAGGAGGGAGCAGAGCATGAAACCTAGATGGATCTGTAAAAATAGAAGTTTCTTCCCATCAGTGAAGGAAATAATTATCTTTAAGAGTAGCACTTCCATTTGCCAGCCAAACAGATCTCTGGTGAGTTAGGTCTGTGTAATAAAATACACTAAAGTCCCTAGAGGGTTGATCTGAGTTTCAGATCAGGTTTTTTGTAGCCAACCTACTGCCTGTCAGATGTTCAGGCTGCAATTCCAACCACTGCTGCTGAGTCAGAGAATCCACTCAGCCATTTCTATCAGCACGGACGTGCAATGGATACACTCCTAAGCAGTGTGAAAAAGGCTCTGGAGTAATCTTTAGGCTCATCAGTATAATCAAATCATGTGAGAAGAAAATCTGGCTTGAAAACCTGACTTACACATGTTAGACCATAGAGGAAAAACAGCAGAAAGACAGCAGGGAAGCTGCTGAGGGCGAAAGCATCCCGCACCACGAGAGCCGTCAGCAGGCAGGAGAAGACCAGCACGTAAACAGCATACAGCAGACTCCAGGAGAGCCTGGGGGTGAAAAAAAAGAGTGACATCACACTCCTCTTTAATTAAGAACCGTTGTTACAAGTCCATCTGCATGGCAGAACTATTTGAAATTAAAATGTTAAGTAGTCGCCAGGGTCAACTCGGTCGTACTCCAGACAGGACAGACAGCATGAGCCATCTTAGGAGGAAACACCCAAGGAAGGAGAACATGCCCCTGCCATGCTCAACCCTTCTGTTTTGCCCTTAAGAGTACTGGAGAAAACTTGTGAACTCATTCACCTTCATAACTCCTTACATGAATGCCTCAGAGAATACTGATTTTTGGCAAACAAATGCTTTAGTCCAAAAAGAACTCACCAAAATGCAATATCCTGCAGCCCCATTGTCTTCATCAATACTTTGAGCTTCTTCTTTTCTCTGACAACATTCATGGATAAGAAATACATGAAGGGGAAGAAACACATCACGATAGTGATCATGAAGTAACTGTACTCTAAGGTAAGCAAGGGGATGACACTCCGGGACTTCATACGGACACCAGCAATTGATTTCATCTCTTCCCAAACAGAATGATTTGCCACCACCTAAAGGAATTCAAGGTCAACATCTCAGTATTTAGTTCTTTTCTACAATGAGATATATTTGTATAAAGAATCTTCTGTTTCATTCACCCTATAATATTTATTTTTTATGCAGCTTTCTAGAAAACATCATGAAATAAAGCAACAAGGTCCTCTGGGAAGGGCTCATCTGATCCACTTGTGCATCTGCACCTTGCTGGACTCCCTCCCTTGTCTACAGAGAGAGAAAAATCCTTCAACTCATCCAGAGGTAAGGATCCAGACTCATGCTTCCCAAGGGCCTGTTTCTCTGCCCAGCTATGAAAACAGCCTGGACAGCTGGAGATGCACAGCCAGGAGGAATGACTCCCACCCTGGCTTACTTCTGAGGAACAGCTGATTACATTTCAGCTCCTACTTGTCCATGCCAACGATACTCAGAGTACTTTAAAATATTTGATTTTCTGCAGAATTTTCAGACAAGCCGATCCCTTGCTGTTGCCACAGAACAATTTGTCTTCCCTGGGTGAAGTTTAAAGTGAAAGGGCAGCTACATCAATTCATTAATTTGCTTTACCTCTATAATAGCAGCATCGATGCTGGACTGCAGGGACAGGAAGCCTCTGTACCAGTACTTGGGGCTCTCACAGTACCGTGAGGAGAAATCATAACAGTTATCTGCAAGGGTGAAAGGTTGAGGGCATCACAGGTCAGCACAGTGAAAAGGAATCAATTTTCACTACAAAAGCTGATGAGAAACACATTCACTATGTGAAACTCTTCAAATGAACGGTGGCCCAGTGTTAAAAAAATAAATTAACAATGTATTAAATCACTTAAAAAAGGTGGATCACTGCAACAAAGTGCTGCCTATCCATGCCAGGCAAAACCCCCCCATAAATTCTCATTTTGTTTTACCTATGTGTCCAAAGTTGTCATTTGGAATAACCACATCCCTAGTAGAAAACCTGAGGTGGTAGGAGAAGTTGTCCTTAAATACAACCCCTATAATTTCTTTATTCAAACTCCAGGCTTCTTCCAGGGCTTTCTCATTTTTCAGTGCTTTTAGTTTTATACCTGTGGTGTGTGAAAAAAAACAACATTACAATGAGTTTCTGTAGGTCTGGAAACATGTGCACAGGCAGTGGGTGTATTTTCTGCTTGTTTAGCTCCTAAATCCCAGTTCTGGACTGGGGTGGCATCTTTAAACACTTCAACCATTACCAGTTGAGAAGAAATGAAGAACTTCAAGAAGAAGCTGAAAGAATGAACCAAAGTGTCTTAACAGTATTATTCTACAAAGGCAGAGCTCTACAGCTCAGAAGCACATACTCATCTCACCAGTAATTTAAATGCTGGAGAAGGATTTGTGAGCATGGAGGACTTGGGATGAGTTTTCTCTACTGACCAAAGATATTGGAGAACCACTAACCCACCATACATTTAGAACAGATAATGACAAGGCTAAATATTTAAAAAGCAAACGATACCTTTCATTAGAGAGCTTGAGGCCACTTTATTCATTATCTGCCTTGTGGTCTCAGTGCTGGGGGTAAAAGCAATGGTGACCCCCGTGGCATTGTAGGCAGGATGGTCCAACTGCCCGAGGTCGCTGTAAGGAACTTCGGGGTAGTGGTGGGTCATTATGAAGGCACACTCTATGAATGCCAAGGGCAGGAAGAGCAGAGACAGCATCCACTCCTGGGGAAGGGGGAGAGTGGAGAGTTTAGTAATATAACCATATAAGAGCATATTCTAAATGGGATTAAAATATTAAAAAAAGGCACTCAGTCCCAGCAACCTCTTAGATGTTGGCTGACTAACAAGGTCTTTGTGTTGTGCCAATCACCTCAGTAAATTACCCTGCTCAGAGAGCCCATCTAGGCTCTCACACATCACATAAAAGTCAGAAATATTATCTTTTAATATCTCAAAGGGCTCGTTACATGTCCAGCTTTTCAAAAGTATTTTGACCTTTAATTTTACAAACAGAAGTTGGGGTACAGGGGTAGGCAGGGATTGGCTGCTCTCAGTCGTTAGCTACTCACTTTTGGTTCTTTTGGCTTACCTGAAAGCTCTGCATCTTCCTCCTCCTCTTGATAAGTAGATTTTTCCACAAGAGAATTTTGAGTTGTTGGAATACACTCGTGTTTCTCTGAGGCGTCTTCATCTTGGAAACTACAAACAATTTAAAAAGGAAATTTCTTTCAAATCCCACAAAAGCCAGAAAAGCAGTGACGGCTCATTGCACTTCTGCACAGTGGTCATTCCTTTCTCTTTGTGCTGCAAAAAAAGAGCTGGAGCAGCTTGGACCTGTTGTGCTGAGCTAAATCCAGCTGTGCAGCTTCTAGCAGCGAGGGACCAAGAGATCTCAACGTCCTCTACAGACTCCCAGTCCTTGCAGCTCAGCACTGGGACACTGATCAGAACCACAAGGTAAGGCTGGGAGGAGCTATTTATGAAATAAAAAAAGGGAAGATCACACCACATGACCTAAATGACAACAAAATACTCAATTCAAACCTCCCAAATCTTTTATTTGCGTGTCAATTCAATGTGCTATAGGCTTCACCCCAAGAAGAGTTGAGCAACTGCTGGCTGTGGTGTGAGCTGAGCTCATATGGAAAGCAGCATTGACTGAAGGCAGCTCAGAGCTAGGAGAGAACAAATTCTTGGAAGTGCATTGGGAGAGCTATCGTTGTTTGGGATATTCATGGAAAACGAGGGGGAAACAGATAGTCACGAGCATGTGTTGCTCCAAAAGATGTGGCAGCATCCTTAAAGAGACACGTTGAAAGAAAAAAACCCAAGGATTTCTTGTCTGGATTGATGCTGGTGGTGACAATTTCCAGATATAAGTGGAGGTGGAAATTTCAGGTCTAAAGCTGGTTGCCCCAGTAAGTTTTGCAGAGGAGATATATCCACATCAACCATCAGTAAAATCATCATGAGAACCTTAATGAGCAAAAGGACTCAGCATCTGAATGCAAAAGTGCTACACTCACATAGCCACACTATGACCACAGATGTAGCTAAAATATGCTTTCAAACAAGATCTTGATCTTCTCTGAGTGAAGCCTCAGGTAGGAATATCAGAGCTTTTATAGACCTAGACCTTTTAAACCTCCCTGTTGTATGTCAGGGGGATTTACACTGTCCTGCTCCCCTTGGGGGATGATGCCTCACGGTGCTGGCAGGAAGGATGGAGTTTATCTTCTCCCAAATATTTCTGTTCAGCCCTCAGAAGAGGCACATCTCTGCTGCAGGGAGGCAGCAGGCACCAAAGTGCTGGAGAAGCAGCTGCAACAACAGGTCTTCTCCCAGTACATGCTGGAAACACTGGTATGGGACAGCAGGAGGATGGGGCAGGGACGTTGGCTCAGCAGCAGAAATCTGCTCGTTTGCCATCACTCTCGGAGCAGATTTTTCTCTTACAGATGATCTCATTTCATACAGGCATATAAAACTTTGGATTTAGCCCGTGCTAATGATCTCTAGACTTCCTTGAGGAAAATGTGAAGTTAAACTTGCAATTGCTTGGTCCTTTTTCATCTAACAGAAGCCAGGTGCACAAGGGTGTGTATCACCCCTATACATTTCCACAGCTCCAAATGGGATTTGTGCCACAGCTCAAGCAGGGCTCCAGTTTGTCCTTCACTTTAATTGTCCCATAGAGTCACCTCAACAAGCTGACACCCCACAGCTCCACACCCAGAGGTGGTGGCATCCCATCCTGGGTGGGATGAAGAGCTGGCACACCAGGTAAGGCTAAAAAGACTCTATCTCCTTTAACTAATCACTAAGCTTAATTAAAAGCTCAACTCATGCTGGGGAGATGCTCAGTGTCCCACCTACTCATTCATGGTGTCACCCAGTATCATTAACAGGGTTACTGATTACTGGATGTTTTCACAGCTTTTAAATAGCAGGTTTTATTTGCTTTACAAAGAATATTTAAGCCTTACCTTAGCAGGAAGGTTTGAAAGGAATCCAGAGCCTGTCGTTTGCCTGTAGCAGTGGAGATGTTGAGCCTCCCCTGGGAAGGACTTGCTGGTTGTCCCAGCAGCTCTCAGTGCCCCTTTGTCCACACGCTGGTCGTTTCCCTCAGACACTTCTGCCAAAAGGCATTCCTCGCACCATCACCTCGCTTTTCCCTGGCTTCCTCCCCCCCTTTCCTCCTTGGCAGACCTTCAGATTTATTTATGTTATAAAAAGCAAACAGAGCATATTGTTGTCGAGCTGCTGGAGCGGATTCTCTGAAAAGTTACTCAGGAAATTCTTGCGTCTTGGCCAAGGGAAGAAAAATGAACCCAACAACAAACCCCACAAAAATGCTTTCTCTGGCAGACGCCGTTGTCTTTCTGGGTGCAGGAAGAGAGGCTGGAGGCAAGAGCAGGATGGCAGCACCCTGCTGCTGGTGCAGGAGCAAACCCTGACTCTCCTGAGCTCCAGATGGCCAAGGCTGCGGTGGCGAACCGCTGCAGGAGGAGCAGGGGAGCACTTGCCTCCTGGGTTGCAGCAGCTCCTCTCATTAAAAAAAATTCCCTTGATTAACTCTGTGCTTCTCAAGGGAACGAGGCTGATCTCACCCCAGGCTGTGGAACGTGCTGGTCCCTCGGTTGCCCACCACAGCACAGCTGAGGGACCGTGGTGGGTGGGAGCAGTGACCAGCTGGGACAGGGGCTGGGCTTGCAGACGCAGAGGAGCCGGATCTGCTTCTCTTTGCTCTGCCTGGCAGGAAAAAACACCCCCCAGATTTAAACAGCAGTCAGATGATTCAGAGCTAGCAGGCTCCAGAGGCGCAGTACGTCAGGACACGAGGAAGTTGAGACCTCTCCCTGGTACATCTCCTGGGGGTACAAACCTTCTGCTCCCCCTTTCAGCCCCTCCTCACAAAAGGAAAGCAAGCAAGCCACACTAGCTGGAGAACTGGACATGCCAAGGGCCAGTCAGTGAACCTCAAGCAAAGACACCTCCCTGCCCACCTCCCCGACAGGGACACTGGTGTCTGGAGATCCCTGTGGAAAAAGCTCTCTGGGTGTGTGGGGTGGCTGCTCTGGGGCTTTTCCTGGCAGGAGCAGAGCCCCTCCTCACAAAAGGAAAGCAAGCAAGCCACACTAGCTGGAGAACTGGACATGCCAAGGGCCAGTCAGTGAACCTCAAGCAAAGACACCTCCCTGCCCACCTCCCCGACAGGGACACTGGTGTCTGGAGATCCCTGTGGAAAAAGCTCTCTGGGTGTGTGGGGTGGCTGCTCTGGGGCTTTTCCTGGCAGGAGCAGCCCCACACTGCTGGTACCTGCTTGCCCCACAGCCCCACCTGCATTTGCCTGGACACCCATGGGTGCCTGCACCATCCACCCCCATCCTCCTGGCCTGCATCATCTGTACCTGCACCACCAGCACCCCCACAGCAGCCAGGGCAGCTCAAGGCATGGGCGAGGGTCCTGCTGCCCTGTCTGCCTCAGGGCATGGCACTGTGGCACTGCCCCTGTCCTCCAGTGGGTCCCCAACCCAGCAGCTGTGGGTGCTGGGGGACAGGGCAGCAGGGAAACACTTGGCTGCCTGAGCATTGGGAGCTTTGATTTTATTTAGGGTTTTAAAATGCATAATTTAAAGGTAGCCCTGGCAGGCAGGTGTCTGACAAGACACTGCTCTGCTCAGGCAGGGTCAGGGTGCTGGTGCTTCCCCCATCTCCCCCCACAACTCAGATAGATGTGCTGTGGCCAAAAGACCTGTTCAGCCTACTGTCCTGCTCCAGCATTACTTTGGGTCAAAGAACATCTTATTTTGACTCCAGAGGATTGCTTTTTCAAAGATGGTGATCTAGCAGCTGTCTATTTTTATTGCACTTTTCCAGGGACTGCCGAGTCCTTTCCTCTCACCTTGTCCTCAGTGGTGTGGATCAGAGATTGGCCAAGGTGACTCCAGCTGGAACAGACAGCAACAGCAGCTTTTTGGGTCAAAATATAGCCCCGTGCCCCTCCACAAGAAAACACCACTTTTGCTGGCCACATTAGAAGGATGATTCTCAGCACTGAGCAAGCCAAAGCCCTGGTGCCCTCCTGCCATGGACAAGGGAGGGTTTCAGAGCCTCCTCTGAGTTTGGAGATGATTCTCTCCAGTGATCAAGCCCCTCTGGAGAGCCACAGTGCCCATCTCACTGCCTTGGGACCAGCACAGCATCCCGGCAGGGTTGTGCCTCAGCATAGTGGATCTTCATGAGCCAGTCTGAGCAAAGGTTCAGATGAATGGCAGGCATCAATTTGCCAAAGGATAAAGGCTTTATTTATTAAAATAATAATTTTTTCATTCTTTGTGAGGCAGAAAACCTGCAGAGTGGTATGTGTGGAGATATGGGTAACAAGTCCTAGGGCTACATCCCATCACACATGTCAGTAACATTGATGGGATATTTTCCTCTGTGGCTCCAAGAGCTCAGGGGTGAAGAGGTCTCCGTTCCACAGCCCCGTTGGATGCTGCATCCAGGTCGTGCTCCTCTGGGTCCCTGGTGAGGTCTACAAACACCTGCAACACACCACAGTGTAAAAGACCCTGTTACTGCCAAGGACTGAGAGTATTTCTGCTGCTCACAGGCTGTGTCTCCTTTTTATACAGGCAGTTTGTAACCTGTACCTTCTAGATCAACATACCTGTTGCAGAGTGTGTAATGAGAAGCTGTACTCCTCAAGCCTGAAATTCTGTTTAGCTGTGGAGGGATGGAGAAAACATCCTTCAAAACCCCAATCCATATGAACAATTTGAAAGCAGTCTTCTTAATGGAGAGTTTCCTTTTACCTGCTTCTAGCTTGGAGAAAGACTGGGACAGAGGCAGTGCATCTTCCAGGGGTATCTTGTAGGTGAGAAAAGAAGAAGTCCTGGCAAAGTAATAAAAAAATGAATTCATTATTTTGTGACTCAGCAACAAGGTTTAGGAGTGAAACTGTTGAGCAAGGTCAGTGAGAGCAGGTGTCCCAGGACAAGTCCAGGCTGGGGGTGCAGCCTGGAGGGTAGTGACCTTTCCTGCCGAGCTGCGCAGGGGAAGAGGTGCAGAATTTCCCTGTGGAGAGCATCCCTTTGCCCCATGTCCATCATTTTCACTTCTAGGTAGTAACTCGTATGAAACTTCCTTTTCAGATCCTCAAGGGAACCGATGAACCTGCAGAGGAGGGAAAACTGTGCTCAGATCATCCTCAAGGCCATAAAAATTATCCGAGGGCTGCAATATCTCTGCTCTAAGGCCAAGCTGAGAGAGTTGGGCTTGTTCAGCCTGGAGAGAAGGCTCCAGGGAGACCTTCTGGTGGCCTTTCAGTACTTAAAGGGGGCTTATAACAAAGATGGGGGCAAACTTTTTAGCAGGGTCTGTTGCGACAGGACAAGGCATGACAGTTTTAAACTAAAAGAGGGGAGATTTAGAAAAGATATAAAGAAGAAATGTGGTGAGCCCCTGGCACAGGCTGCCCAGAGAGGTGGTCGCTGCCTCATCCCTGGAACCATTCCAGGTGAGGTTGGCCGGGGCTCTGAGCAACCTGCTCTAGCTGCAGATGTCCCTGTCCCTGCAGGGGGGTTGGACTCAGTGACCTTGAAAGGTCCCTTCCCACCCAAACCACTCTGTGATTATATAAGCAGCAAACACAGCGACCACTGGTTATGAGCAGCAGATTCACATCCTCCAATTCCCCAGCAGTTGACCCTGTGCTGCTGAAACAACCTGTCCCCTCCCAGACCTGCGTTTGTGACACACTTGGCACCAAACAAACCAACATTTGCTCTTCGATGAAGAAGACAAAACCCCAAGCAAACAACTCCCCCCCCAATGCCCAGACTAAATCATCTGGGGGCATCACAGCCCCGTGCCCACCGCAGCTGCCCCGACACCAGGATGGCCACCCGGTCACACGTGGCCACTGCCTCCTCCAGGGACAGTGTGCTGAGGATGGCTGCCTGCTCCCTGCTTGCCATCGTGGTCTTCATCACCTTCCTGGGAACAGAGGGGTCACAGTTAGTCCCCAGCAAGAGCCAAAGAAAACCCCTTTTTATGTCTTCTCCCTCCCCCAAAGCAACCAAAATGGTAGTTATCAAAAAGTGGCTGACTCATTAAAAGCCTTTGGGTATCTTTCTTTAAGAGGACGTGTGGCTGGCAACGTTCTGCTGCAATTTGCCAGGTCAAAATCCCTACAAATTTTACACTTTCAGCGTGGACTTCTAGATGGTAACTTGTACAAAAGTGGATGAAAACCTAGAGCAAGAGCAGGAAGCACTACCTAGATTTTTTTTCTCTTGCTCTGAGGAAAACAGGATTTTTTTTTTCCCCAGTTTTATACCCAATATATGGGTTCAGCTGGTGTCCACTCAGAGTTTTTGGGGTGCACCACCATTAAATTTACACCCTATGGTTGACAAGGGTTTGTTGCCTGCTGAGTAAGGAGTTTAGTGGGTGGTACCCCATCCTTTGGGCATGAGGGAAAAGGGAGACTACAGCTGCACTCTGCCACTGAGGCAGAATCTCTGCCTGCCCAATGGTTACTACAACAGGGGGGGTATCACCCAGCCCCTTAAATCTGTTACACCCTCCTCAGCTCTGCTAAATCTGGGCTGCTCACCGCATCACACGCTGCCCTCTCAGGTCCATGCCCACTGATGGCTCGTCCCAAAGCATCACCCTTGGATCTCCCAGGAGGCTCAGTGCAAAAGACAGCTGAAATGGGAAAGAGACCGAGGTCAGGCCAGCTCTGCCTTCCATTTACCTTCAAAACTGGGGAGTTTTGAGTCCTGCTACATCTTAACCCTTGTGAATCTTCTAGAAGCTGAAGCTCTCGATTCCAAAATTCAGGAAGAACCCCAGGGATTATAAAAAAATAATCCCATCTCAGGTGTTCAGTTAACATTTTAATCTTCCAAAACCAGCTTTCCCCAAAACTCCAAAGCCTGCCAAAAATCTGAAAGTGGTTTTCCATCCCATTTACTGACAGATGCACGTAGTGGGGCATGAAGAGGTGATTACCTTGCAAAGCCCATTTGTGGTTTGCATTTATTAAACACACAATATGGGAGAGAGTAGAGGAAGAGGAGAGAACCCTGCCAGGCTGGACTCAGAAGTTATTGATGAGAACAAACCACGCCAGGAACCCCCCCTGCTGAAGGCTTTCTTTGCATCACGTTCAAGGAAGAAGGAGCAGGATTGGCTCAGGTAGCAAATCCAAATCTAACACGTACCCTTCTGGCTTCTCCAGCAGCTAAGCTCCTAGCTCGGGTCTTTAAATGCTTCTGGAGATCCAAGGCCTTTGCTATGCTGTGGGAATGGCAAGGAAAAGTACTGAAATGATTCTTTCTGTTATTTGGAGATTTTACACCTACCTCAGAGGTTAAATTGAGCAATTTTTGCCAAAACTCAAGACAGTAAGTGCAGCTAATGAGTTACTCATGTAACTGGCCATGAACTGCAGCAAGCTTCATTTTTTTTCTGACATTGTCTAGATAAACCAGGGCTCAGATTTTCATTGACACAGGACTGAGAGCACTAATGTAGCAGATCTCACCAGAAGGAGACCCCATTTCTCAAAGGTAAAGAGACACTGAAAGGGGCCTACAAGAAAGCTGGAGAGGGACTTTTGCAAGGGCTTGTAGCAACAGGACAAGGGGTAATGGCTTTAAACTGGAAGAGGGTTAGACTACATGTAAAGAAGAAGTTCTTCACTATGAGGGGGGTGAAACACTGCAACAGGTTGCCCAGAGAAGTTGTGGATGTCCCATCCCTGGAGGTGTTCAAGGCCAGGTTGAATTTGGTTTCAAGCAACCTGGTCTAGTGGAAGATGTCCTTGCCTATGGAAGGGGGCTGGAACTCAGGTGATCTTCAAGGTCCTTTCCAACCCAAACCATTCTATGATTCTGTGACTGAAGGTGCTGTCTCTTTTGACACTAGCCAAGCTTTTTGTCAGTTTATCATAGAATCATAGAATGTTTTAGGCTGGAAGGGACCTCGAGAGGTCATCTGGTCCAACCTCCCTACCCAAGCAGGGACATCTCTACCTAGGTCAGGTCTCCCAGGGTCCTATCAAGCCTGACTTTGAATGACTCCAGGGTTGGATCCTCCACCACCTCTCTGGGTAAAGAAAGTTTTAAAGAAGTTTCTCTTATAGTAAAGAAGTTTTTTTTCTAATAAATATGGAGTCTAAATCTCTCCTTTCCTAGTTTCAAACCATTACTCCTTGCCCAAACCCTTTTGAATAGACCTTCCCCTGTCTTCATGGAGGCCCCTCTCAGGTACTGGAAGGTGGCTATAAGGTCCTCCCAGACCCTCCTCTTCTCCAGGCTGAACAACCCCCACTCCCTCACCCTGCCTGCACAGTGCTAGACCTCTGGAAGAGAGGAAGAACCCAAAGCTGAAGCCACCTGGCTTTTTACCGTTGGACGACGAGAGCTGCCTCCTCCTCCCTCACCCCTCGGATGGCAGAGAAGGTCTCCAGGTGCTGCTGCACGGTGAGCTGTGGCCAGAGTGGGTCCTGCTGGGGGCAGCAGCCCAGGCCCCCCGGGCTGCCCTGCCCTGGGGAGGAGGCGGCTGCCCCACGGTCCTGGAGCAGCACCTGCACAAACACACACCCTCCAACATCTGCCCTGGGCTGCTCCAGCAACCAACCAACCCCTGGGTGGGGAGGAACCTCATTGGAAAAGGAAGCTCAGCATCACTGGAGCGACCATCTCCACCCACCATGGCTTCTGCTCAACTGAAGCCAAGCTGGTGTCTTCACAAACCAAGCAGTTATTTACTCCTGCAAAACCTGGTAGTACCAACACCAGGCTA